TTTGTAAGCTACATTACTATTGGTCTTTTGTGTGTCAGTAATGATTGGACATATTTCTTTGAGGTTTCTGGCAGTTAGTTTCAACCATACTGTTGAGATTACAAAGCTGTTTTTCACATCAGTTTTTATTTACTTGATGACATTGAATAAAGAGGTTCAACTTGTGTTATTCTTATTCCCGTTGTTACTGGGGTTATCATTTCCAGCCAGGGTGAATTGAGTTTTCATCTATTTTGGTTTTATCATGTGTGTTTCATCCCCAGCGGCAAGAATTCCATGGATATCGTTCTGTACATGGCTCCTATAATTGATGTGTTTCTATTTCCTACAACACTCATTATGGAAGAAAACATGATCAGTATCATACTGACCCTTGCCCGAGATAATATCAATATCAGTTGGCATCTCTTATTCAATTCAGCACTAACATATTTTGTGAATTTGACAAACATTTTTATTATGAAACGCACCGACATCTCACTTCTATTCCCACTGAGTTTTGTTCTCAAGTGGTCTTGTGACATTATACAAAAGCTTTGAATATTGTGCAAAGAGCTTCATTAACCAGAAATCTGTGCAGAAGCCACAACTGGATGAATGTATTGTCAAATATTTTACAAACATTTGTGCAGAAACCACAAGGAAAAATGAATGTGTTGTCAAATGCTTTATGAATATCTGTACAGAAGTCACAGAAATGGATGAACGTGTTATCAAAAGCTTTACGAAAATCCGGGTAGAAGCCACAAGAAATGATGAATATATGGTTACGTATTTTACGAACCAATGATTATGGTGCTGAACCAATGTTGCTATCATATGGTGTTTCCATTTATTGAGCCAAGATGAAGTTTGTCTTCTTCAACCTCAAGGTTAGAAGTGAGATGTGATGAAGATTTCTTTCCACAAAAGGGAAACTGAATTTTTTTAACAACAAGAAACTAGTGGAGCCAACTAAAGTTGAATGACATGTTGTTGTTCGAGATCTGATTAGATGTGGAGACATGAAAAGAATTAGGATACATCCTCCTTATAGTGTATTGCAAGAGTCAAATCAAAACAGACGCTGATCTCCTAATTAATCTCTGCTGAGTTAGGCATATCTACATCTACATTCCTCAAAGATGATAGATTCGCTTTTCAAAGATGAAAGCTTTATTGGATTTCTACACAAGTCCAAACAAAGAAAGCAGATGTTATCAAAGACAAAAATGGGGCATCAAGGTCATAATTCTGATTACGGCAAGATTTTCATAAATGAAACATTTCTTCTAATTTTTTAATGCAAGCAAAGAAGATACAAAGATACAAGATTGATCAGATGATTCTTCAGCTTTATGGCATGGGTTGCTACACTGATATCCAAAGGTAACCCTGGCAATAAAAGATCAAATGAAGGAAGACCAGGTTCACCACTTTGAAGTCAAATGAAGATTGCATCAACATTCATGCATTCATAAGAACATCATTTACACAATAGACAATGCATTACATTGATACATCTGAGTGCATTCAAACATGAAATTTTACAGATCTTCGTATGAACAAGAAGATTCATAATGAAAAATACCTTACAAGAAAAAGGTAGAATTCAAATCACATCAGGAGACGCCAACATCTGAAGAATAGATGGACGCAGTCCACAATAATGAGCATTATCTTGAGGTTGGGGCATGTTACCCAATCAAAATGTTATTTTGAAAAATAATGAGAAAACGATTTCCATAGTTTCTCATTCAATCTTTTCTGAAAATGAAATTGTTAAATAGTAAGAAAACGATTTCTATAGTTTCTTACTTAGTAAACTATTTCCTACATCTATAAGTCCTTCAGTGCATGATGTTATCAAAAACCTTCGGGTCATCTGTAAGTCCTTCAGTGCATGATGTTATCAAAAACCTTCGGGTCATTTGTAAGTCCTTCAGTGCATGATGTTATCAAAAACATTTGGGTCATCTATAAGTCCTTCAGTGCATGATGTTATCAAAACCTTCGGGTCATCTGTAAGTCCTTCAGTGCATGATGTTATCAAAAACTTTCGGGTCATCTGTAAGTCCTTCAGTGCATGATGTTATCAAAAACCTTCGGGTCATCTGTATGTCCTTCAGTGCATGATGTTTTCAAAACCTTCGGGTCATCCATAAGACCTACAGTGCAGGATGTTCTCAAATGAGATTTTTAAGAAACTAATTTTCAAAGGTTTCTTGATCTTAAATCCTCTGGGTCATCTATAAGACCTATAGTGCAAGATGATAAGACCTCTGGGTCATTCATAAGACCTCTAGGCAGAATGTTTTCAACATTACCATCCTACTCAAAAGAAGCCAAATGAAAAAATTATTGTTTTTTTGTCTTTGATCTATTCTTGTTAACACAAGAATAAGCAAAGAGGGGCAACTGTAAACACTATTTTTTTCATTTTGTTTTTTTATTATTAAAATTATTATTATTATTATTATTATATATTATATATATTATTATTTTTATTATTATTATTATTAAATAAATATTACAGGTCCGTTTTACAAATCATAAAGCCCAAATGTGACCGGCCCAGATCCATAAACCTAAAGGAAACCTAATTAGGGTTTGTGTATCAACCGCCAACATCAGCAACCGTTGGATCTGACAAGATCCAATGGTCCAGAACCCTCCAGATAAAAACCCTAGGGTATCATACCCTAGGGCCACGTAGTGCCGCCGCCTCAGCTATTTCCAGCAGCCACCTTCAACCGACACCTCCTTTGCTGCCAAGTGTTCCAACCGACGCGGTCGACACTTCCACTGCCAGATGTTTCAACCATGACACCGCTGCCTCTGATGAAGGCTCCATAAGGCCCAACTGCCCTCCACACGTCAATGTTCAAGGGTGAGTCACCACAAATTCGATGACTCACCGACTTCACCCATGGGACCGATCCAAGAGCCACACCATCGATGGTTATAAAAACCATCGACCACACCTGCAAAAAAGAGAGGGGAGGAAGCAACCAACAGACACGGGGAGATAGAGCAAGCAAAAATACGCACCAAACAGTACAAATAAGAGAGAAAATAGAAAGCAAAAAGAGAAGAGAAGAGAGTGGAGTAGCTTACCCTCATCGGAAACCCAAACCGCCATCGAATCATTAGAAACCCGAAGGTATAAAACCTAGATTTAGAAAATCCTAGGGGATTTTAGGATAAACGGGAGTCGGAATCGATCTTAGGGAGTGCCGATTTATCTTATGAGGGGCTTTTTTTAGTTTCCGACCACCGGAAGCAATGGTCGACGGCGATGTTAACGGCGACGATCGGTCGGAGCGTGGCTGTTGGAAGGTGGTCGAACTCTCTCCGGTTTAGAGAGAAGGCAGAGAACTTTTGTTCTCTCATTTAGAGAGAGAGAAGATATGAGAAAATGAGAGAGATGAAGCCATTTTGGCCGGCTAAAAGGGTTTATATACCCTCTCCCAAACGACGCCGTTTTGGGGAGGGTATATGTATAATTTTCCTTTTGGGAAAATTATTTCCGCAGTCACTTGAAATTCGAGACTTTCCATTTTGGTCACTCGTATCATACTTTTAATTATTTTAATTTTGTTCTTGAATTTTATTTTGTTTTATTTTAGTCCTTATTCGTATACTTATATATACTTCGGGTAAATACCATATTTAGTCCCTAGAACTTTAATAACTTTTATTTTGATATGGAATTAATTAATTAAGGATTAATTATGTTAGTAACACCTAATTTTCATAATATTTCAAACTAGAGCCTTTAATTTTAATATTTTATAATTTAATCACTACTTTTAATACTCTAATTTATTTTTAACTACAAGTTTTATTACTTTTTATATTTTAATATACTATAGTTTTAATTCTATTTGTTTTAGTCATTGTTTAGTTATATTTTAAATTTATATGTTTAATTCAATATTTTAATTATTATTATTTTATTTTAATCATATTAATATATATTACTTGATTAATTTTATAAATTAATAATATTTATTTTTTAATATCAAAGAAATGGACAGTCTTAAAGCAACTAGATGTCCCATTCAAATATTTTTAAATAAATAAATATCCTTATTTTATAAATTATATATATTTTGATTATTAGGAAAAGGTTTTATTAATATTTATTTATTTTTCAATATCAAAGAAAATGGCATTTTTAATATAACTGGATGTCCTATTCTGGTATTTTAAAAATTATAATTTAGTTTTATTTAAATTATTTTTATGAATAATTATTACATTTTTAATATTTATTTATTTATTAATATCGAAGAAAAGAGCTGTCTTAAAGCACCTAGAAGTCTTTTTCTGATATTTCTAAGTAAATAAATATCTTATTTATAAAAAATAGAGATATATTTATATTAATAGATTTTCTTAAAATTATAGTAATAAATTTAAAACAACAAGAATATAAATTAAATATATCTTGAAATTTTTAAATTTCTAAAAATAGAGACAATTTATAATTAATAAGTACTAATTTTGGGCGTTTTGGAGTGCTAATCCTTCCCCAAACGTAATGGACCACGAATCCCTTTTTATTATAAAAAAGAACGAATTTTTGGTTAAAACGCAGACCAATTTATTTTTTAACTGATTTTTCTTAAAAACTCTTTTAAAAGATAATTTTTAAGTATTCGACCAACCTAACCCAAAAGGCCGATGACGACTCTTTAAACATTTTAAAAACTATTTATTCACATCATTTTTTCCGTCAAGTAAAATTTCGTGCCCGAACAAAAACCGGCTACGACAAAAGTCTTTTCTTCCTTCTCGGCACTTATTCTGAATATTTTCAATGCAAATACTGGTGTTCAACAGTCCTCTATTTCCCCAATCCTTAAGTTGACATCCACCCGAGGATGACCAAATCTCATTTACAAGTGATATAGCATTGAGCAAACTACGTGTAATACCACATAGAGACTCTCAACAGATGCAACGATTACAACCATAGGGTTAAATCCAAGCATCAGGCTTTGAATATTACTTACCTGTAAAGTTTCAAAAGACCCTTTCAGGTACTCAATTTCAGAGTCAAAATTAGCGATGTAGAGCAAAGAATCGACCCTCTTGAAGGCGAAAGGTATGTTGAGCACAACCATGAGGAATTTCTCGGCTGGACCTAGCTTAAAAGGGGATTCATCATTGAGCTCCTTCAGTCTAAGCTCTTCTTCTTCGGTTGGAGCCATCTTTAATAGGCTTTCCAAGAGCTCAGTCCCTCTTGGCGAAAAAAACTCATCTTCTTCATATTCAATATTATTTTCAAAACTACCCATTTGTTCAGTTTGGAGAAACTGTTCTCCGCTTTGAAGAGTTTGGACTTTTGGCAATGGGGCAATGAATTCAGGTCAGGGGAGCCAAGCTTTTGATATGGAGAAGACGAAACTCCCAGCTTGATACCTCTATTGCTAGAAAGGATAGCTGTTTCTGGGTCTACTGTAGAGTTGACAAGTGTTCCTAAGTATAGAAACTCCGAGTTGCGGTTTGTTAAGACATAGCTTGGTGGTTGTGGAGCCGGAGGCTTTTGGGAGGCATCTGAGGTGAGAATGTTGGGAGGGAATAAGCGCATGGAGTCTGAAAGGGAAGCTTTATCGTCGGAGGAAGTGTTCTGGCTGTTATGATGGCGGAAGAAGAGTGTGAGGACGACGAGAGAGAGGATGACGGCGGCCGCGAGGAGGGCTGAAGAGAGGGAGATGAGGATGATTTGTCGGTGGTGGGACGAGGGCGAGAGAGAATGGGGTACGAGCAGGAGGAGATGTTGGCGGGAAATGTTGGTAATGTGGAGGATGGTGGAGGAAGCGGCGGAGGGGAAGAAAATGAAGGAAAGAAAGGCTTTTGAGTAGTGGAAGGGGGAGTGGTGGCGAAAGGATATTTGGGTTGTTGTTGCTGGCTATGATAAGACTGCGGTCCCGGTAGGGGAAAGTGGAAGCGCTAGGAGGAGGATAGACTGGTGGAAAGGAAGTAAAAGGCAGAAAAGGCTGGTGAAGCAAACGGTGATGATAACAGAGAGAAGTGGTCGTTGTAATGGTGGAGAGGAGGAGGAGAAATAGAAGTTAGAGGTGGCTCCCGGTGGCCGCCGACATTATTGTTTCTTGAACGTAAAACCACACTAAAAAAAACCACCATCACGCACTTTATTTGACTGTTTCTGACAAACAAAAGATGATAATAGCAATGAAATCTGTTTGCAGCTAAAATTAGTCCGAAAGTGAACAAAAAAATCCAATATTTTGAGAGGGAATCAGTAAATGGAAAGAAGAAGAGTAAAAACATAAAACTGCAGTGGTTTTCACTCACATAGCTGTCTTGAGAATATAGAAAGAAGAGTGTGAAGCACACAGATGTGAATGGCAAAGTCAAGAAATGTAATTTAAGAAAACACAACGTAAGAGGTTAAAAATGTCTGACACGACACAGATTGCTCTTTCATTAGGATTTTGGTTATTTTACCAAAAAAAATCACCCTAAAATCCTAATACCCCCAGTCTAACACTCATTCTCTATTATTTTCCAAACTAACACCCTTTCTGATAGCGTGGAGCGAAGGCACGTAACCGGAGGCGTGCCTTTACAGAATTTTCTGATGTGGAGGAAATACGTGTTTTAGGAGGTGTCTTTCAAGGGATTCGGCTGATGTGGCTTTATGGTGAAAAACGCATTGCAAGGGATGCATCTTCCAAAGACGCGTTTGGGGGCATGCGTTTCCCCTCGGTTGAAAGCAGTTTTATATATTTTAGGATTTAGGGTTATACATGGTTTAGAGTTTTAAGGGTTTAGGATTAATGGTTAAAGTTTTGGTTTTTAGGGTTTTAGGAATTTATAGGATCAAGGGTTATGGTCTAAGGTAATTTTAAATGTTTCTTAGGTTGAAGTGATTTAAGGTATTTTTAGGTTAAAGTGGTTTACGGTTTTTTAGGTGAAAGTGGTTTAGGGTTTTTAGGTTAAAATGATTTTGGGTTTTAAGGTTAAAGTGGTTTAGGTTTTTAAGGTAAAGTGGTTTAGGGTTAGATTAAAATGAAAATGTTAATCACATGAAGTAAGATCTACTAGTTTATTTTAGAAAATACAAATACATTAAAAAAAATTTAGAAAATTCAATTACATTGAAATATTAGAAACAAAATACATACATTGAAATATTAGAAAAATAAGATTACATTGAAATATTAGAAAAGCACATACATTAAAATAGTAGAAAAGTACATACAATATTGAAATATTAGAAAAACACAAACATAGAAAATACAATTAAATAAGTAAGGGTTAACGATTAAGTAATGATAAAAGAGCTGAACAAGTTTTCCTATTATGGTATAGGTTTCTGCAATGTCCACATCTTTTATGTTCTCTTGAGCTCTCCTAAATATCCATATCACAATGAATTTGAGTGGATTTTGGACGACCTGAGTCCCTCAATAGCAACGGATCTAGTACAATTGTAAGTCAAGTTTGAATCTCATCTAGGTCTTTTTGTTACCTATTGGGGAAACTCAAATTTATATATCTTGAATACTTGTGAAAGTTGGTATACGGAATCAACATAACTTTTGTAGTTCAAATGAGAATGTGAGCTAGCTGATATGACATGGGAGCATGTATATTTGAGTGCTTGAAAGAAAACATAATCATACCACCTTACTTGCATATTAACTCTAAAAGAGTTAGCTTCAATCCCTTGAAGAGGACGTGACATTTCTGTAACACAAAATAATTCACGGGTGCGAGAAAAATTCGTTACCAACATCACATTTGAATCTGCAACTTTTTTTTGTAAATCTGTTACTAGTCTTGGGTGATAAATATGGTCGTTCTGCATCCAAGTAAGAGTTTTGTTCCTCGAGCTTTACAAATAGTTGACACAAACAAAAATAAGTGGTTTTGACCAATGTTGTGACTGATAAATGATGCGTCCCCTTTAAGGTTGAATTGATAGCTTCAGCCAAATTGGTTGTCATATGACCATATCGATACCCCCCCGTCATAAGCATTTGTCCACATTTCTTTGTTGATGTCCATAATGTACTCGTGCCCTTTCTTGTTTTTTCCAAACAATTCTTGTAGCATAGACTAAAACCATTAAGGTAATAGTTCGTAACTTAAGCCATAAACCACATGTAATTGTTAGAGTGAAGTAGAAATAAATAAAATGAAAATGTTTGAAAAATAAAATTGAAAAAAATAACATACTCACGTGCACGACTAATTGACGTTCATCATTCTTCTTGTATTTTTCATAGTAGTTTGCAGCAATATGACAGACACAATAACGATGTTGAACATGTGACATTGATCGCGAACCACTCGATCATTCACATAATGATGTTGAGTTTCAAACTCAACTATTGTCTTGGGATTCAATATTTGCATAACTTAAAACCAACTGGGTAGCTCGTTGTAAGAGGAATCCTACTAGCCATGAAGTTTGACAATGACATTCTGTTTTGTCGTGTAAGCTTTTTTATAGGAGACGGTGTACCCATATTGTGATTGTATAACAGAAATTAGCACTGCAATAGATATGTGAGAGCTTTACTTCACTATGAGCATGATAGCTTGGCAAATAATGTTGGAGTCCAAGTTGGGATGGTCTTGGTTGTTACCTATTACACAACATGTATAAGGACCGTTGTATCTTGTTAGTTCCCATATGTTGTTATTTCTCTTCCTCTTTAGTACACGAACCATCTAGTTACATCCATTATCATGTTGGACACAATGGCAAATATACTTCTCTATGGTGGATCGATTAATTTGGAAGTGAACTGACTTACTAATATTGTAATTCTTAATCATCATCATTACTTCATCTTTCGATGAGAACTCCATACCAATATATAACTCACCATCATTGACTGATGGGTTAAATCCATAGTTGCTAACATTTTCCATATCTGAAAATTCAAGCTTGTACATTGCATCATAGTCAGCTTTATACATATGTGCAAGAAGTTTGATTGGTGGCGTATTTATGAGAATTTCATCTGCATTATCATCAGAGTGTATGTTAAATTATGGTGATTCGTGTTCAACGAATAATCATGTTTCAGCACCATCCGTACTTGGCTCACGAAGAGGTTATTCTGGTAGAGATGAGGGTTCCTTGGTTAATCCGATGTTGAGGTCGAACAAGTTTCCAGATACATGAGTTTTCCTTAAACTTGAAGCCATTGTGCCATATGGGTTGTGAACAAAATGTTTTGTTGATGGCGTTTCCATGTTCAAGTCGAGAAAGGTGGTAGATGAATGCCTACCCCTTGAATTAGAAGAGATGTTTCCATATGGATTGTTGGTGGAGCCACCTGGTTAGAGATCATAAGCAGTTTCTGATGAAAACATTCACATTGAACTTGATGGCATGGCAAAAGGGGGTGGATTTGCCATTAATGATATGAAATCATTACAGATCATTTGAGTCGGATTGTCAACTTAATCATCTTGATAAGCCAATCCATAGTGAGAGCAAAATGACATACCACGAAAAGCACAAACCTCAATAAAAGTGACATACATTTCAATAAGAACTCGTGAATTTCCCATATGAGCATAAATCATCATAGCAACATCATCAACGTTCGAAAGATTAAATGGTGTATATGTCAATGGAAAAAGTTCAGTAGGAAATCTATACTGAAGTGAAGATAATATTCTAGTACTTTCAACACGAACTTTTAACAATTTTTTTGTGATTAACTCCTCAAGAGTGATGTTTCTCTTGAAGGTTAAGGGGATATAATGATATGATTAAAAAACAACCCCCTCTTCAGATTGTTGAATTTGTCAATCATAATAAACAATAGCAGAAAGACGACCCATTTTTAGAGATATCAATTAGAGAGTTTGAGAGAATTTGAGTGTTTTGAATTTGAGAGCATTCTTCAATTAATAATAGACAAAAATGATGTCTCTAGACGAGGAAATATTTATCTCAACTATTCATGTCAACCAATAATATGCTTAATGGGATGAGACACTATGACATGGTAGAGATTATCTGAAAAGGTGAAAGCGCTTCTTGTGGGATGTTCCTTCCCTTTTCGTCAGAGATTCTCTGCATTTTTCAATTAATAATAGCCCTAATTGATGTTCACCATTGGGGAACTATTTACGCCAACACCTATTATGTTTGATGGGATGAGACAATATGACATGACAAAGATTATTTGACAAAGGTGAAAGTGCTTTTTGTGGGATGAGCCTTCCCTTTTCGTAAGAGATTCTCTACATTTTTCAATTAATAATATCCCTAATTGATGTTTCCCATCGGGGAACTATTTATATCAACACCTATTATATTTGATGGACGAGACACTATGGCATGGCATAGATTATATGAAAAAAGGTAGAAAAGCTTCTTGTGGGACGTGCCTTCCATTTTCGTCAGAGATTCGTTATATTTTTCAGTTAATAATAGCCCTAATTGTTGTTATTTGTCGGGGAACTATTCACATCCACACCTATTATGTTTGTGGTCATAAACTTCACTTTTCGTCATAGATTCTCTTATCACATAACCTCAAAATAGAAATGATAAAATAATAATATAGAATTTGAGATACTTTGGCCAGAAGA